AACTCAAGTTGTTTACATGTTTAAATATTTATTTGTTTGTCCGTTTGGGTACAGTAGAGAATCTGTAAAATAGTAATTAGGTAGAGAACAATTTTCTTTTTTAAAAAAGACTGGTAATCACTAATTTATTAAAAGACGTTAATTAATTCTTTGATTTATACATTAATAGATTAACCACATCAATTATAAAAGTTCAGAACAATGACAGTGAATAGTGACGTCACATGATTTATTTACTTTTTACAACAATAATGGCGGCTTCCATCGAAGATTTTGTTGCCGATTCAAATGTATAAAGTATAATATAGCTAATTTTCTGTCGGCTATTGCTTTAAGGATACGTCCGTTTGCTATTTTTAATAATTTCCATCACTAATATCAAATTTCAACAGTCCTTTTTACTTTAAGTATACAATAAATTTCTCTAGATCTAAAATCTAAAGGCCAGCTGTCGAAGGTGTTTATTTATGGAACTAGAATCTAGGTTAGACCAAAATAAATTAGTTAAAAATAAAAACGATTTTAAAATTAGAATAAGAATAAGTTTCTTTATTAAACTATTTTAGTCCTTAAATATTTAATATAAATCTTTGCTTTTTAGCTTCACGGATCATCTAATTCAAGAATACAAGTGATTTATCCATCTAGGTCCAAGATCTTAGAAATTCTAAATCTAGATCTAGCTAAAGTCTAGAGTTACGGCAAAATCTCGACTTAACCAAACCAGTCGTAGTATCTAGATAACTCCATCTAGATCTAGATAACAATGAGTTTTTATACTAAACTATTTCAGACCTTCATTATTTTATATAAATTTTTGTTTGTTTAGCTATGGAATTGGCTAATTTAAGATAAAACTTAATTTCAAAGATACTAGATCTAGGGCATATGCGCATAAATCAAGTTTGTTAAGCAGACTTAAACTATTAATATATAGCACAAAAAACCATCAATGACGTCAAGAGTCTAGATCAGGGGCGTAGCGAGGGGGGGGGGGGGCGGCGGGGGGTGCGGACCGCACCGGGTGACACCATTTAGGGGGGTGACACCAAGGCAAAAAATAGCAATATATATACAGAAAAACTTGAGGGGGGGGTGCAAATCGAAAGTTTGAGGGGGGGGTGCAAATCGAAAACTTGAGGGGGGTGCAAATCAAAAGTTTGAGGGGGGGGTGCAAATCGAAAACTTGAAAGTTTGTCCCCGGGAAGGGTCGCAACGCCTCTGGGGGGGGGGTGACACCATTAAGTGCCGCACCGGGTGACACCCGACCTCGCTACGCCACTGGTCTAGAGAGCTAAGTTTTTAGTGTAATAGGTTTCCATACGGGTGGCAAGTATTCTAAACATATCATGTCAATGTTAAAAAAACATTTCAAATTTTTTTTTAGATGTGAATGATAAAGTTGCCTATCGGAACAATGCGGGATACAGGGCAGGTGAAGTAGAGTTCACCTGTTTCTTTGTCCTCGTTTTTTTAAACGATATAAACAGGTTGAGACTTGGCGGAACACTGGGCATGCGAAGTAGAGTTGGGTAGGTCACTTGTGTGGTCCGACACATGCTCAGCCGAAATCGGTGTTTTTAAAGGACAAAAAACGTCTTTCTGAATGTGGAGTCTGGTTATTTTGTGATGATAAGTGACAGACGTAATGTCATTTATACATGACCACCGAAACCCACATAAATCTAACTTGATAACGGGTAGTCTAGTATATATATATATATATATATATATATATATATATATATATATATAGTTTCCAACAAAAGTAATACAAAATGATTTCATAAGTGGTTGTTTAGATAAATGTATGTTATTTCTTACTTTTTTGTTTAGGTTTGTGGACTATTTTGTAACTCAATATAGACCTGCTTTCACTGTCTTTTATACTTTCCAGATACATTCTACTCCGATGACAATGCACGAATATCTAATTCTTATTATAGTTAGTTATAAGCTTAGTCATAAAAATGTAGTTAAAAGATTGCTAAATTCAATAATAAATTATGAGATAACAAGATTAAGTACTAGCTAAGCCTAAAGCAAACTGACGACAATTAAATGTTGGACAGAGCTTCATGAGAGTTGACCAATGACTAAAAATGGGCAGAAAATCGTTTTTTAGAGATTCTAAGCTTCTGTTAGCGGTTTTTAGTTTAAATATTTGTTTTGTTAAGGATACATTGTTCTACTTGAAAAATCATACAATTTAATAAAAGTCTCACAATAAATAAAGCAATATCTTCTTTTTTACTTTCTCGTATATACGTAGTATAGAGAAAGTATTGTAATCGTGCAAAAAAAAAAAATCGAGATTTTTACAAATCTCGACGTTTTACACCTCACTGATACGGAAAAACATAATTTTGCAATCTTGTCCGTATGTCTGTGTGTGTGTGTGTGTCTGTGTGTGTGTGTGTCTGTGTGTCTGTGTGTCAACACGATTACTTGAGTACCGTTACAGCTAGGTTGATGAAATTTCATATATAAGTATTATATCAAAATCGTAGATCCGTATCAACTTTTGAGCACTTTCCGATAACCGGAAGTGGTACTTTTTCTACTTTGAATTTTTCAAAAGCCTATAACTTGAGTACTTATTCAGATAGATAAATGAAATTTCACATGTAAGTAAAAGATCTAATTCTCTACCTGCTATCAAATTTTGAGTAATTTCCGTTGACCGGAAGTACTAATTTACGCTATTTCCGATTTCTCAAAAAACGCATGTAAATTTATAAAGTACTAATAATATTGCGCACTATTACGCACATTTGGTTTTAGTGCTCGCTTGGTGCGCAATTTTTTTTCTACTAGATTTTATTCTATTTTTAAAAGTTTAAGTAAACAAAAATCATGTCTATATTCCGAGTTGACATCCCACGTAGTGTTATATTAGAATATTCGAGAAAGTTTAGGGGAGATCACTCCCGGTTTATTTTTTAAAATTGCTATTAAAAATTTAAAAACGTGGCTTTTTTTCACAGTAAACAAACTATGACAACATGATGTGACGAGGAATCAACACCATCAGCTATACAATTTTCTATACACAATTTTAAGAACGTTTTTAAAATGTTTTGTTTTTCAAACTTATTGTCCTTGATTCAACCTCGCTACTACCTATGAATCGATATTTTTGTTTGTACATTTGATATTCTAACATACTGAATGGTACCAGACAATAAAACGTATGGCAACAGAATCAATATCGTGTCGTTCAGTGTTGAATAAAAAAAATTACCACTAGCAGAAGACATAATGAGGAACTATAAGATGTTTTGCTTAATACATTAAACACGATAGCAAAATTATTGTTTTACAAACGTTCTGGTAACAATTTTTAAAGAGAGTCACATTTTTCTTGCAGGAGTGCTTTTTGGCATGTGTAAGTAAAGTTACATGCTTCATCTATGAATTCCACGTTTCTATTGGATATTGCCTAGTCTACTTCTTCTCTCAGTCCGTCAACCCCAACTACAATGTAGAATATGTAGTCACCTGCCCTAATGATGCAGGTAAGCTTTGGTTTTTTTTTATCAATGAATGAAAATATTGTTTGATTTTTAAAAATAAAAATCTTGCAATGATTATTTCAATTATTGTTTTTTAAATTGATACCTCACATACACGCTATAGGCTGTTTTAGTTCATGTAATAATTGTAGGCAGTTGCATTAACCAATATCACTTCCTATTGACCGGCCAAAGTTCGAAATGTTTCTTGATTTACCACATTGGCCGTCCACTTCGCTATATGGCTTGGGTTGACCAGCCAAAGTCCGAATTAGAAGGGAATCAGTAGATTTTTGGGTTTTGTATACCGTTTTGATATTGAAATTAGGTATTTATTAATTATTAATGATACAAATTAAGTTTTCTTTTTTTAATTTTACAATATTCTCAATCTAAATTAGCACTTGTAACAATAAGATAAACTTGTAAGAAATTTACATTATTTTCCCATCGACTTCAATAACATCATCTTTATTTTAGTCGACAATACTCAGGAGTTTCATTTGAATACTTTGCTTGAGGTTTTTTTAATCACATGTATAAAAGCACAGTACTCGTATCTGCTTTTGATAAATAAAGCTGAATAAAACTTTTGTTTGGTGTTAGCTGCTGTAATGTGCTCAAATGATCAAAGTACATACTTTTCATTTCAAATGTTGGTTCTACATTTACATGCAGGGCTGACCTCGCCTAACATACTTAAAATAACACTATACAATATAATCGAAGTTAGTCAATAATAATACACACAAATACACATTCAAACACACAAGCTCACACATTAGTATACGCACAAATGCTCACGTATCCTCTAAAAAACACAAACACATTATCACAATAATACACACACTCACAAGCTCTGTCACACACAATATGATGTACACAAACACATACACTAATACACACACACACACACTTATTCTCAGACTCGCACATACTATCATAAACTCATTTATAAACACACACACAGTCAGACTCATATAAACTCACTCACACACTTGTATGCATACAATCACTCACAAACACTAACATACTCAAACAAATTCACACACATATATACAGTCACACATATATATATATATATATATATGCATGTATATATATATATATGCTGTAACTGCAGCAACACCAACGGTAAGTCAATTTAGTCAATTTAATCCTCTTTTAATGCAGCTTCTTCTTTCTTTCTAGATCATATTTAAGGGGATTTCTCCCAACGCAATTGTAATTCGATTTGCTTTTTCTTTCATTGCAGGATTGTTTCCAAAAGTGCGTAGAGAATCCTAAATGTTTGAACTACAAAATGCCTAGTGGCGGCGTGTGTCAGAATAAGATTGCAGATGGGGTAAAGATAGACCCAACACTTCAAGTCGAATCGGATCCATTAATACGATGCGAAATGCGTACGTTTATTATACTTTTGCTTATCTTTGTTTTGATGTGTTTCTGATTTGCCTGCTCTGCCCTGCCATGCCTTTCTCTGCTCTACTCTATTTTTTCTCCATTGCGCTTTGCTGTGCTTTGCTGTGCTTTGTGCTTTGCTGTGCTTTGCTGTGCTTTGCTGTGCTTTGCTGTGCTTTGCTGTGCTTTGCTGTGCTTTGCTGTGCTTTGCTGTGCTTTGCTGTGCTGTGCCTTGCTGTGCTTTGCTGTGCTTTGCTGTGCTTTGCTGTGCTTTGCTGTGCTTTGCTGTGCTTTGCTGTGCTTTGCTGTGCTTTGCTGTGCTTTGCTGTGCTTTGCTGTGCTGTGCTGTGCTGTGCTGTGCTTTGCTGTGCTTTGCTGTGCTTTGCTGTGCTTTGCTGTGCTTTGCTGTGCTTTGCTGTGCTTTGCTGTGCTTTGCTGTGCTTTGCTATGCTTTGCTGTGCTTTGCTGTGCTGTACTTTGCTGTGCTTTGCTTTGGTTTGCTGTGGTTTGCTGTGCTGTGCTGTGCTGTGATGTGCTGTGCTTTTGCTGTGCTTTGCTGTGCTGTGCTTTGCTTTGCTTTGCTGTGCTTTGCTTTGCTGTGCTTTTGCTGTGCTTTTGCTGTGCTTTGCTGTGCTTTGCTGTGCTTTGCTGTGCTTTGCTGTGCTTTGCTTTGCTTTGCTTTGCTTTGCTGTGCTTTTGCTTTTGCTTTTGCTTTTGCTTTGCTTTGCTCTTCTCTTCTCTTCTCTTCTCTTCTCTTCTCTTCTCTTCTCTTCTCTTCTCTTCTCTTCTCTTCTCTTCTCTTCTCTTCTCTTCTCTTCTCATCTCTTCTCTTCTCTTCTCTTCGCTTCTCTTCTCTTCTCTTCTCTACTCTTCTCTTCTCTGTTCTGTTCTGTTCTGTTCTGTTCTGTTCTGTTCTGTTCTGTTCTGTTCTGTTCTGTTCTGTTCTGTTCTGTTCTGTTCTGTTCCTTTCTGTTCTGTTCTGTTCTGTTCTGTTCTGTTCTGTTCCTTTCTGTTCTGTTCTGTTCTGTTCTGCTCTGCTCTGCTTTGCTCTGCTCTGCCTAAAATCAATAGGTTTACAATTTAAAGAAATAAATGAAACATTTTATTTTTTTCCATTGCAGCTGTCGCGGCTGTAGAGACAACTACGGAGACAATAACAACAACTACAAGTATGTTTTTTTTTTCCTTTATTAAGTCATTATTTAAATACATGATTTAAAAAAATAATACCATTATAATTTAAAAATGTAATTGTTGTTTTTAGAGAAACATTGTAATAGAGGCTTTGCTCTGCTTTGCTCTACTCTTATCTACTCTACTATACTCTATTATGCTCAGCTCAGCTTTGCTCTGCTCTGCTCTGTTAGAATTATGTTTACAATTTAAAGATATAAATAAATCGTTTCATTTTCTTCCATTGCAGCTGCAGCGGCTGTAGAGACGACTACAGCGATGAGGGCAACAACGACAAGTATTTTTTGTTTTCTACTTTATTTAGTCATTATTTAGATACATGATTTTTTAAAAAAAATAACACCGTTATAATTTTAAAATGTATCTGCTTCATTTAGAGAAACATTGCAAGAGAGGCTAAGAATTTCAAGCTGTTCAGAAGTAAGTTCAAAATAACGGTTGGCACATTGATAAATATACTCGTTAAATTGTTAAAAAATTAAATGTGCTATATCGGCATTTCTTTTCGTATGTTTTAGTTATCGTTGATTATGATTTTAGGTAAGTGTAGATGATGGAAAATTTTAAATAAGCGCCAGTATTGTATTAATGCAAGGGGTCGGCATGGTCGAGTCGGTATAGTTCGAACCCTTAGGCAGATGAGGTTCGACAGCTGGGGACAGCAACTCATCTAGCAAAGAAAACTCCAAAATTAAACAGCTGCTATCTTGCAGTTTGTTCTTGGTTGGACAAAGACTATGGAAGCAAATCCAAAAAGAAAAGCAGGATGAAATATGAGTCAGCAAGTTGACACGTATAATTAATTCTTTTAGAGGGAATCCCTTCCAACACTAAAAATTAAGAACACAGAATAAGTAATACTTCTGCTGATTGTTTTCATTTTTTTCCATCGACAGAACATCTGGTCGGCCTTAGACATCAGACTTCGTGTTGTCTCGCATTTGGGATGTCCAATTCGACCAGCTGAACATTTTATTTTATTCTCTTATCTATACCGATAAGATTAGGCTACAATTATTTTTTCCTTTTTTTTTCTTTTCTAAACGCTAATTAATGTCTTATTTAAAGTTATATGTGACACTGAAAACAATCAAGCGGAAACATAATTTAGTACATCAATTCAAAGTAAAATAACAATTTCACAATATGGATTTTTTTTCTGTTATAATAAAAGTAACTTAGTAAAAAGTAACGTATTATTTGTTTGATTATAAAACATGTTCTTGTATTGTAATTTAGTTGTCTCCAAAATGTACTGTGTTATATCAAATAAACATTTAAGAAAAACTTACATAAATACAAATGGTTGCTACGGTGAGGTTTGTGCAAATGGTAATACCACAGGTCGTGTTCATATTCAGAGACATTGAAAACAAATGCTGGTTCAATAGACGTTTCGATCCAAGGTTTTCGTCAGCACACAACAATTGAATTAAAGACTAGACTGATAAAACAAATATTTTTAAAACATTAAAAAATAAAAACCTTTATAAAAACAAGCTTTAAAATAGATAGATAATAAGAAAAGAAAACACAATTTCTGCTTTTTATATAAAAACTTACGTTGCTTATGAGATCTAAAAAATATTTTGTCAAAATCTCAAATTTTGATTTATTTATTTATTTTTGCACAGTTACAATACTTTCTCTACAATTTGTTAATGAGAAAAAATGATTTGAAGCATTTAACAAACTAGTAGCCAGAAAAAAAAATGTATGTTGGTGTTTAAATTTGCATCACTTTTATTCCACAGTGCTGTCCCAAAAACCACGATGTTATCAAATTTCAATAATAATTTTTACTATATGGAACTCTTTCGACAAACAATGTAATCAATAATACTCTTTCTTTCCACTATAAGAGACCCACTAAACAAGCAATGTTATTAATAATACATTTTTTCTTCTATGGGGAACTTACTAAACAAACAGTCAGTAACATACCAAATTCATAACCCAATGTTGGTTTTTCCTTCAGTCTGAAGACCTGATCACCACAAGAAGTAAAGTTTTTTTGAAAAAATGTATACGTTTTCCTGTGGTTCATAAAAATTATTTTTAGTAAAATTCAAATAAGGGATAGGAGATGGGGAGGTCGAGTGGCAGAGCGCTAAACTACTAAACGACAATTCTAGAGTTTGGGACCCTGCCTCGAGTCCAAATTAACCCCGAGTTCACCCATTTCTGATAGATACCTTCCTCTCGTGACGGAATGTAAAGGCGATTGGACATACTGTTGACCAAGCTAACCCTTCATTTGCTGAAGTCGCTGAAACAGGCAAACTCTACTACACCTACCCCATGGACTGGGAAACCAAACAGGTCAAACAAATTTTGGAGATTTTGAAAAACAAATGATCTACATATCTGAGCTGCTTTTTTACTTTCACGTATATACGAAGTATAGAGAAAGTATTTTAATCGAGATGTTTGCAAATCTCGACGTTTTACGCCTCACTGATACGGAAAAACATAATTTTGCAATCTTGTCCGTATGTCTGTGTGTATGTCTGTGTGTGTGTCAGTGTGTGTGTCTGTGTGTGTGTCTGTAAACACGATAATTTGAGTATCGTTACAGCTAGGTTAATGAAATTTCATATATAAATATTTTATCAAAATCGTAGATCCGTATCAACTGTTGAGCGATTTCCGTTAGCAGGAAGTGGTACTTTTTCTACTTTGGATTTTTCAAAAGCCTATAAATTGAGTACTATTTCAGATAGATTAATGAAATTTCATACGTAAGTAAAAGATCTAATTCTCTACCTTCTGTCAAATTTTGAGTAATTTTCGTTGACTGGAAGTACTAATTTACGCTATTTCAGATTTCTCAAAAACTAATGTAAATTTATAGAGTACTAATAATATTCCGCACTATTATGCACATTTTATTTGGCGTTCACTGGTGTGCAATTATTTTTTCTACGAGATTTTATTCTATTTTTAAAAGTTTAAGTATTTAAAATGGATTAAAATTCATGTCTATATCCCGAGTTCCCATCCCCTGTTTTTTTCCCACGTTTTCTTTAACTTGCTTTCTCTGTTTTTTCTTTGTTTGTTTGTTTGTCTTTCCAATCCAATCTTGCGATCGAAATTTCTGGCACTTCCCAGTTAGCTAGCGCGCTGAAATTTTCAGGGAAGCTTTCTTTTGGATGACCATAGAATATGCAATTGTTATTATTACTAAATTGATCAATGGAAACATTTTATTGAGCATTTTAGACCGCTATATAATCTATATATATAATTCTCCTCTGCGAGCCATTAGAAAAAAAAACGAGCGACGCGTACCTCGCGCGCAATGAAGCGAACGATCCCACGTCGCCACAGGCTTAGGGGCAGATAATTTAGTTTGAACCGAGTTTAAACTTACAGGAGGTAGGCCAGTTTGGGGGAGACGATATGGTCGAGTGGTTGGGCACACGATTGCTATCCCACTCGACACGGGTTCAAATCTATGTGTTCTAGTCAGTAACCAGCCCGAGTCCTAACCGCTATCAACTAACCTCTGACAATCATTCACTTGCGATTGAGACCGCAGAAGAAAGGGTCTCTCGTTTTTTACGAGTTGTCTTTTTACGAGTTGTCTTCGTTTACCAAAAAAAAAGTGAAAAGATAAAATCGATAGCAAGATTTCAATGCAAACAAACAGACAAAGACTAAAAAGTAGAAAATAATAATCATTAAAAAAGTTTTAAAAAACCCACTTTTTTCATCGCTTATAGTAGAGTGATCGCTTGCATTATTGTGATGTATAACATTTATTTTCTACTTTTTAGTTCAATCAGAATACGTGGGTTTTTTAAAACTTTTTTAATGATTATTATTTTTATATAAGAATATTCGAGAAAGTTTAGGGGAGATCACTCCTGGTTTATTTTAATATACAAGAAAAAACGAGTTTTTCTTCCTTGCGTAAAATAATGGTCCTCATATGATGGGAGACAACTAAGCACTAAATGCAAAATGATATTCACATGCCTAGGGGTATGTAAGGTAGATAAAAGGAAAACAAAATCAGAGCTGTAAACGTACACGAAAGTGTCAGTGGGTAAAACTTTCCAAGCCATTATTCCTACTGGAATCGACAAGATATAACATAAGGCTGCTGTTTGTAGTTAATCAAATGCCATGTGTATACAGTAACTGTTCTTTTTAGGAAAACAAAGTGTGAGGCGAAATGTAATGTAAAATGAAATATCCCGAAAGTCTATGTAAGATTAACCGACAATACGTCTTTAGAAGCTCTGGTTATTCCCACAAAATATGAAGAGGAATAACTGGCCAGACTGTATCTGGCATTCTTTACAAAGACATGTTGCATACAAGGTGCAATCATAATGATTCAAATTTGTTTTTCGTTAGATTCATAAACAAACGGTAAATAGGAATGGCTCATTGAAAGATGTAATTTCGAGAGGAATATTGTATTTTTGTCTTTTCTTATGGTTGCTAAACAAAAAAGTCCCGAGATTGAAACCCCCGTACATGTCAGAAAGAAGTATGACTTTTGTAAATCTGTGTCGGTCCTCATAAGCCGATCATGGAAAGTGTAATACTAAAGCGAACATGGCAAGGTACACTGACGCTGTAAATTACATGTGTGGGGCTATTAGAATAAAACAATTGATTTATAATATATAATTAGTAAAAACTATTAGCGAAATTAAGTGAGTCGGTTAATCTAATACGTAATCATTTGGCTTATTGCCTTCGGTAGAGGTCACTGACTATGAAGAAAAAACTCCTAGATCAAATTCAAACTAGAGTTTTATCACAGATTGCAAGTTTATTTTCAGTTCATTTAATGATAAAAGAAATACATTAGCAAAATTAAAGAAACAAGAGCGGATAAAATGGTGTTCATATGTCTCTCAAACCTCGTCATATAAAGAGCAGAGTTTCTTCCAGGCATCTCTTCGGGGGGGGGGGGGGGGGGGCGAAGCCCCCCCCCCCCCCCCCCCCGAATTTTTTTTACCGCCCCCTCGAACGAAATGAAATTTATATAATTTATATAGAAAAATATATACTTTTAACAGTGTCCGCCCCCCCGAAGAAAGTCTAATGCCCCCCCGAAAATTTCAAGTGCCCCCCCCGGAGAAAAAAGTCTGGAAGAAACACTGATAGAGAGAATGTATTGTCAGCATTACGTCAAACTGAATTGTAACTCCACTACGAATTAGAATTGATATAGGCGACGTCTTTAAAAGTGCATTATAAAACGACCGCGCCACCTACACAATCATTTACAGCACTTCTTTCTGTTCTTTCTGTTTTAAGTGTAAAATATGTATGGCTCAGTTTTGATTTGTCTCCATATACGACTTAACAGCTTTAAGACGAATTTTGTATCCCCCCCCCCCCCCTCCAAACTGCTCTCTCTCCGTGTCATCGTTTGATCGTCAAAAAAATAACCATCCCCATCCCTGCTACATTGATATCATAATCAAGCCAATCACAAATTATAATTTTCTATTTTATTCTCTTAAGGGGATATAATCAGGGCAGGGTGTTTTTCCTTAAAAGTATTATACAATTAGTTTCCCCTATATAAGCACATCTATAGGCCTAGTCAATTTTACAGGCTCTACATTATGGAGAAATCTTGTTCAGTATGAGATTTACTGATCAATTTGTATCATACTTTTCTTTATCAATTAACCTTTCTAAATAAACTGAAACGCTGCTATAATTCAGTTTAAAATATAAAGTTAAACAGAATTTTTGCAGTTATAAATGTTTTGAAATATTTTTGTTTGAGCAAATTACCAAGAAAATAGAAAAAAAAAAAAATCAAGAAAATAGATGAAATATCTATACATATAAAGCAAAGTGGCCAAGTGCCCAACAGGGCACTTCCCGGCGCCGCAGGCGCGTCAAATTTGGCACGATGGTGCCTTGGGGCGATAGAACACGAGGGCCGGTGACGGTTCGCCGAAATGTCTACGGAGAAGGGATCAAAACTGACCTCGACTGACCGGCGCCTTATATGGGCTATATTACAAAAAAAAAAATTCCGACGACGACCCCCTTGATATTTTGTGATGTGGTAGGAGAACGCCTTGGGGTGTCATAAAAAACTCGGCATATCTGGGAAAACTTCGTAAAGGGGTCAAAACTGACCAGTTGTATTTCCCTATATAATCTTTGTATTTTATGGGAAAAACAGAGGGTCATTTCAACGCGGATTTTAAGGTACTTAAGCTCAATATTTATGGCTAATTTTTTGCGTACTCTTAGGACAATGGCTTGACCTTTAGGGTAAAACTGTCGGTTTGACTCAAAGCCCTCGACGAGGGCTAAAAAGTGATTGCGAGTGAAATTCTCTTTATATGACCTCGATTACGAAAAAAAATGTTCTTCCTACGACCCCCCCTTGTTTTGAAATGACCCCCTGTTTTTCCCAAAAATACAAAGATTATATTGGGAAATACGACTGGTCAGTTTTGACCCATTTCCCTATTTTTCCCGGACATGGCGAGTTTTTTGTGACACCCCAAGGCGTTCTACCACCTCACAAAATTTCAAGGGGGGTCGTTGGAGGAAAAAAATTTTCGTAATAGAGCTCATATAAAGAGAATTTCACTCGCGGTCACTTTTTAGACCTCGTCGACGGCTTTGAGTTAAACTGACAGGTCTGCCCTACGGCCAAACCATTTACCTATAAACATGCCAACAATTAGCCAGATGTAATGAGGGTAATCGCCCTAAAATCCGTTTTGAAATGACCCTCTGTTTTTCCCATAAAAAATAAAGATTATTTAGGGAAATACGACTGGTCAGTTTTGACCCATTTCCCGATTTTTCTCGGACATGGCGAGTTTTTTGTGACACCCCAAGGCGTTCTCCTACCACCTCACAAAATTTGAAGGGGGGTCGTCGGAGGAAATTTTTTTTCGTAATATAGCCCATATTAGGCGCCGGTCAGTCGAGGTCAGTTTTGACCCCCTCTCCGTAGGCATTTTTTGGCCAACCGTCACCGGCCTTCGTGTTATATCGCCCGAAGGCACCATCGTGCCAAATTTGACGCGCCTGCGGCGCTGGGAAGTGCCCTGTCGGGCAACTGACCACTTTGCTTTATATATATAGATGTGGCTGCTGTGTGTGTATGTTTGTGTGTGTGTTTGTTTGCCAGCGTGTCAGTGTGTTTGCGATCGTAAATTTGAATATGTCTGTAAATGTGCCTGTGTGTGTCTGTGAGTGTGTCCAAACGTAGTTCTATGAATGTGTTTTTTGTGTCAACGTCTGGGTTGGTGAACGTTTCTTTTAATGTATGCGTGTTTTTATTTTATATGTATTTTGTGTTTCTGAAAGTATTTTTATGTGCTTTCGTTTCAGCGCCGTTATATTTGTGAGTGTTTTTGTTTGTTAGTCTGTGTTTATGTGTACGTTGCTTTTTTTTACGTAGTTCTGTGTAGTAAAGTGTGTGTGCTGAGCCCCCATCCCCTTCAACCCCCCACCCCCCCCCCCTACCGTCCTCGCCTAATCCCCTTAGATAACATATACTTGTAAGAAGTCAGTACCTATAACTTGAGTTTAATTATTCATTGTTGTGTAAGTCGTTGGGGGTAGGGGTGTAGAGAGAAAGGGGGTGGTGATTTATTAGTGCGACTTACAAGAAAAGAAAATCGTAATAGGCATTCTAAACCAATAAAAAACTCTCATTTGTCACGAGATTTAAATTAATCGAACAGAAAAATCTTCCACAAGTGTAGCAGAAGAAAATTGATTGAATTTTTTCTTAATTTTGTTTACAAGGTCAGCGTGATATATTTTGTAAAAACATATAGATCAAAATGACGCGCTATATTTGATTTTTTTTTCCTAAATTTAATTGCCGTTTGTTTATTTTTACATAATAGCTTTAATAGGGATTGGGTTGTCAGACAGGAGCGCCCTTAATTGCTTACTCCAAATATCCCGAGTTCGGATCCAGCTTAGATGATAATCGATAGATCATCAGCTCATCTAGCAGGGAAAACTCCTAAATCAAATAACTTGGATGGAGAAAAGCTACGAAATAACGTCTCGAAGAACAAGCAGGCTGAAGTAACAATCTACGGGTCATATGTCGCATAACATATTGACACGTAATACTTAATTGTGTATCAGAAAATTCCGCTTAATATGACAACTAAATTAAGAATGAAGACGAAAAATAAATGAAAATAAAAAAAAATGCAGACAAGAAAATAGCTGACAACATTGTTAAGAACGATGTGTTTCGTTTCTGATTTGTCGGACAAAACCTAAGGTTTTTTTATTATTGTTCTTGTGTTACTTTTTTTTCTTCCTTTTCACCATTGGGCAACACATTTTCACTATTGAACGTACCAGGTATTGTTCATACGACTTAACCAGATCAGTGACAGACAATCCCCTAGGGTGTTTTCCAACATAGAATGATCTATAGTGAGCTGAAGGGGTAAGTAAGGTTGGGATGGGCTTCACCAAGTGGGCTTAATTTTAGTTTTTTTATCATGTGGGCTTAAATAGATGTGTTATTTTATCTGAGAAGCGATTACTAATCCAACACTCTGTGATCGCTTTCAAAGCTTATCGATAAGTGTACAACTTACGTTTTAATGTTCGTGATTCTGATAATAAAATGGCTGTTTACGATATTGATATTTAAGATACACTGGATAAAGTAAGAAGAAAAATTATAATATTTGCCTCAAAATTAGATCTTAATAGAGAAATAAAGTTTGAGACAGATGGATGTCTTTGGTCTCTACAAACTACCCTCAACAACCCACTCTTCACAACCTACCATCAACAAACAACCCGTTAACAACCCACCATCGAAAATGTACAATCAAGAATCATCACCTACCATAATCAACAAGCCCCCATCAAGATCACAACGTTAACAACCCATCATCATCCTACCAACAAAACCCACCATAAACAACCCACCATCAACAACCCCCCACCAACAGCCCACCATAAAAAATTCACCACCAACAACCCACCATCAACAACCCACCATCAACAACCCATCACCAACAACCCATCACCAACAAACCACTTCCAACAACCTACCTCTAGCAACCTTCCTCCCACAACCCACCTCAACAACCCACCTCTATCAACTCACCTGTAACAACCCACTTGTAACAACCCACCTCCAACAACTCACCTCTAACAACCCACCTCCAACAACTCACCACCAACAACCCACCACCAACAACTCACCACCAACAACCCACCACCAACAACCCACCTCCAACAACCCACCTCTAACAACCCTACTCCAAAAACCCACCTTTATCAACTCATCTGTAACAACCCACCTCCAACAACCAACCTCTAACAACCCACCACTAACAACCCACCTCTATCAACTCAACTGTAACAACCCACCATCAACAACCAACCATCAACATCCCACCATTAATAAATTGAATCAAGTTTTTTTTTATATTCCAATAGCCCCACACACGTAATTTACAGCGTCAGTTTACATTGCCATGTTCGCTTTAGTATTACAGTTTCCATGATCGGCATATGAGGACCGATACAGATTTACAAAAGTCATACTTATTTCTGACATGTACGGGGGTTTCGATCTCGGGACTTCTTGGTTTAGCAACCATAAGAAAAGACAAAAATACAATATTCCTCTCGAAATTACATCTTTCAATGAGCCATTCCTGTTTACTGTTTGTTTATGAATTCAACGAAAAACAAATTTGAATCATTATGATTGCACCTTGTATGCAACATGTCTTTGTAAAGAATGCCAGATACAGTCTGGCCAGTTATTCCCCTTGATATTTTGTAGGAATGAGCATAGCGTATATAGATGTATTGTCGGTTAATCTTATATAGACTTTCGGGATATTTTATTTTACATTACATTTCGCCTCACATTTTGTTTCTTAACAAAAAAAAGTTGTCGTATACACATTGCATTTAATTAACTACAAACAGCAGCCTTATATTATATCACGTCAATTCTGGTGGGAATAATTTTTAGGAAAGTTTTACCCCATGACACTTTCGTGTACGTTTATAGTTCTGATTTTGTTTTCTTTTTATCTATCCTACATTCCCCTTGGCATGGGAATATCATTTTGCATTTAGTACTTAGTTGTCTCCCATCATATGAGGAAAATTATTTTACGCAAGGAAGAAAAACACGTTTTTTCTTGTATATTAAAATAAACCTGGATTGATCTCCCCTAAACTTTCTCGAATATTCTTATATAAAAAAAATGGGAAATCGGGATATAGACATGAATTTTAATCCATTTTAAATACTTAAACTTTTTAAAATAGAATAAAATCTAGTAGAAAAAAATAATTGCTCACCTTCTGTCAAATTTTGAGTAATTTCCGTTGACCGGAAGTACTAATTTACGCTATTTCAGATTTCTCAAAAACTAATGTAAATTTATAAAGTACTAATAATATTCCGCACTATTATGCACATTTTATTTTGTCTTCAATTTCTCTGGATATGAACACTACCTGTGTTATTACCATTTGCACAAACCTCACTGTAGCAACCACTTGTGTTTATGTAAGTTTTTCTCAAATGTTTATCTGATATATACTTTGGAGATAGCTAAATAACAATACAAGAACATGTTTTATAATCAAACAAATAATACGTTACTTTTTACTAAGTTACTTTTATTAAAACAGAAAAAAAATATCCATATTGTGAAATTGTTATTTTACTTTGAATTGATATACTAAATTATGTTTCCGGTTGATGTTTCAGTGTCACATATAACTTTAAATAAGACATTGATTAGCGTTTAGAAAAGAAAAAAAAAAGGAAAAAAATAATTGTAGCCTAATCTTATCGGTATAGATAAGAGAATAAAATAAAATGCTCAGCTGGTCGAATTGGACATCCCAAATGCGAGACAACACGAAGTCTGATGTCTAAGGCCGACCAGATGTTCTGTCGAGGGAAAAAAATGAAAACAATTAGCAGAATTAATACTTATTTTGTGTTCTTATTTTTTAGTGTTGGAAGGGATTCCCTCTAAAATAATTAATTATACGTGTCAACTTGCTGACTCATATTTCAGCCTGCTTATCTTTTTGGATTTGCTTCCATAGTCTTTGTCCAACCAAGAACAAACTGCAAGATAGCAGCTGTTTAATTTAGGAGTTTTCTTTGCTAGATGAGTTGCTGTCCCCAGCTGTCGAACCTCATCTGCACAAGGGTTCGATCTATACCGACTCGACCACGCAGACCCCTTGCATTAATACAATACTGGCGCTTATTTAAAATTTTCCATCATCTACACTTACCTAAAATCATAATCAACGATAACTAAAACATACGAAAACAAATGCCGATATAGCACATTTAATTTTTTAACAATTTAACGAGTATATTTATCAATGTGCCAACCGTTATTTTGAACTTACTTCTGAACAGCTTGAAATTCTTAGCCTCTCTTGCAATGTTTCTCTAAATGAAGCAGATACATTTTAAAATTATAACGGTGTTATTTTTTTTTTTAAAATCATGTATCTAAATAATGACTAAATAAAGTAGAAAACAAAAAATACTTGTCGTTGTTGCCCTCATCGCTGTAGTCGTCTCTACAGCCGCTGCAGCTGCAATGGAAGAAAATGAAACGATTTATTTATATCTTTAAATTGTAAACATAATTCTAACAGAGCAGAGCAGAGCAAAGCTGAGCTGAGCATAATAGAGTATAGTAGAGTAGATAAGAGTAGAGCAAAGCAGAGCAAAGCCTCTATTACAATGTTTCTCTAAAAACAACAATTACATTTTTAAATTATAATGGTATTATTTTTTAAAATCATGTATTTAAATAATGACTTAATAAAGGAAAAAAAAAACATACTTGTAGTTGTTGTTATTGTCTCCGTAGTTGTCTCTACAGCCGCGACAGCTGCAATGGAAAAAAATAAAATATTTCATTTATTTCTTTAAATTGTAAACCTATTGATTTTAGGCAGAGCATAGCAAAGCAGAGCAGAGCAGAGCAGAACAGAACAGAACAGAACAGAACAGAACAGAACAGAACAGAACAGAACAGAACAGAACAGAACAGAACAGAACAGAACAGAACAGAACAGAACAGAACAGAACAGAGCAGAACAGAACAGAACAGAACAGAACAGAACAGAAAAGAACAGAACAGAACAGAACAGAACTGAACAGAAAAGAACAGAACAGAACAGAACAGAACAGAACAGAACAGAACAGAACAGAACAGAACAGAACAGAACAGAACAGAGAAGAGTAGAGAAGAGAAGAGAAGAGAAGAGAAGAGAAGAGAAGAGAAGAGAAGAGAAGAGAAGAGAAGAGAAGAGAAGAGAAGAGAAGAGAAGAGAAGAGAAGAGAAGAGAAGAGAAGAGAAGAGAAGAGAAGAGAAGAGAAGAGAAGAGAAGAGAAGAGATGAGAAGAGAAGAGAAGAGAAGAGCAAAGCAAAGCAAAAGCAAAAGCACAGCAAAGCAAAGCAAAGCACAGCAAAGCACAGCAAAGCACAGCAAAAGCACAGCAAAGCAAAGCACAGCAAAGCAAAGCAAAGCAAAGCAAAGCAAAGCAAAGCAAAGCAAAGCAAAGCAAAGCAAAAGCACAGCACATCACAGCACAGCACAGCACAGCACAGCACAGCAAACCACAGCAAACCACAGCAAAGCACAGCAAAGCACAGCACAGCAAAGCACATCAAAGCACAGCAAAGCACAGCAAAGCACAGCAAAGCACAGCAAAGCACAGCAAAGCACAGCAAAGCACAGCAAAGCACAGCAAAGCACAGCAAAGCACAGCAAAGCACAGCAAAGCACAGCAAAGCACAGCAAAGCACAGCAAAGCACAGCAAAGCACAGCAAAGCACAGCAAAGCACAGCACAGCAAAGCACAGCAAAGCACAGCAAAGCACAGCAAAGCACAGCAAAGCACAGCAAAGCACAGCAAAGCACAGCACAGCACAGCACAGCAAAGCACAGCAAAGCACAGCAAAGCACAGCAAAGCACAGCAAAGCACAGCAAAGCACAGCAAAGCACAGCAAAGCACAGCAAAGCACAGCAAAGCACAGCGAAGCACAGCAAAGCACAGCAAAGCACAACAAAGCACAGCAAAGCACAGCAAAGCACAGCAAAGCACAGCAAAGCACAGCAAAGCACAGCAAAGCACAGCAAAGCACAGCAAAGCGCAATGGAGAAAAAATAGAGTAGAGCAGAGAAAGGCATGGCAGGGCAGAGCAGACAAATCAGAAACACATCAAAACAAAGATAAGCAAAAGTATAATAAACGTACGCATTTCGCATCGTATTAATGGATCCGATTCGACTTGAAGTGTTGGGTCTATCTTTACCCCATCTGCAATCTTATTCTGACACACGCCGCCACTAGGCATTTTGTAGTTCAAACATTTAGGATTCTCTACGCACTTTTGGAAACAATCCTGCAATGAAAGAAAAAGCAAATCGAATTACAATTGCGTTGGGAGAAATCCCCTTCAATATGATCTAGAAAGAAAGAAGAAGCTGCATTAAAAGAGGATTAAATTGACTAAATTGACTTACCGTTGGTGTGGCTGCAGTTACAGCGACGAATGTGCCCGAAAGATAACCAGAACAGTGTGCTGTCAAATAGAACATATATGCATATATATATATATATATATATATATATATATATATATATATATATACATGCATATATATATATATATATATATGTGTGACTGTATATATGTGTGTGAATTTGTTTGAGTATGTTGGTGTTTGTGAGTGATTGTATGCATACAAGTGTGTGAGTGAGTTTATATGAGTCTGACTGTGTGTGTGTTTATAAGTGAGTTTATGATAGTATGTGCGAGTCTGAGAATGAGTGTGTGTGTGTGTGTATTAGTGTATGTGTTTGTGTACATCATATTGTGTGTGACAGAGCTTGTGAGTGTGTGTATTATTGTGATAATGTGTTTGTGTTTTTTAGAGGATACGTGAGCATTTGTGCATATACTAATGTGTGAGCTTGTGTGTTTGAATGTGTATTTGTGTGTATTATTATTGACTAACTTCGATTATTTTGTATAGTGTTATTTTAAGTATGTTAGGCGAGGTCAGCCCTGCATGTAAATGTAGAATTAACATTTGAAATGAAAAGTATGTACTTTGATCGTTTGAGTACATTACAGCAGCTAACACCAAACAAAAGTTTTATTCAGCTTTATTTATCAAAAGCAGATACGAGTACTGTGCTTTTATAGATGTGATTAAAAAAACCTAAAGCAAAGTATTCAAATGAAACTCCTGAGTATTATCGACTAAAACAAAGATGATGTTATTGAAGTCGATGGGAAAATAATGTAAATTTCTTACAAGTTTATCTTATTGTTACAAGTGATAATTTAGATTGAGAATATTGTAAAATTAAAAAAAAGAAAACTTAATTTGTATCATTAATAATTAATAAATACCTAATTTCAATATCAAAACGGTATACAAAACCCAAAAATCTACTGATTCCTTTCTAATTCGGACTTTGGCTGGTCAACCCAAGCCATATAGCGAAGTGGACGGCCAATGTGGTAAATCAAGAAACATTTCGAACTTTGGCCGGTCAATAGGAAGTGATATTGGTTAATGCAACTGCCTACAATTATTACACGAACTAAAACAGCCTATAGCGTGTATGTGAGGTATCAATTTAAAAAACAATAATTGAAATAATCATTTCAAGATTTTTATTTTTAAAAATCAAACAATATTTTCATTCATTGATAAAAAAAAACCAAAGCTTACTTGCATCATTAGGGCAGGTGACTACATATTCTACATTGTAGTTGGGGTTGACGGACTGAGAGAAGAAGTAGACTAGGCAATATCCAATAGAAACGTGGAATTCATAGATGAAGCATGTAACTTTACTTACACATGCCAAAAAGCACTCCTGCAAGAAATATGTCACTCTTTAAAAATTGTTACCAAAACGTTTGTCAACCAATAATTTTGCTATCGTATTCAATGTATTAAGCAAAACATCTTATAGTTCCTCATTATGTCTTCTGCTAGTGGTAATTTTTTTTATTCAACACTGAACGACACGATATTGATTCTGTTGCCATACGTTTTATTGTCTGGTACCATTCAGTATGTTAGAATATCAAATGTACAAACAAAAATATCGATTCATTGGTAGTAGCGAGGTTGAATCAAGGACAATACGTTTGAAAAACAAAACATTTTAAATACGTTCTTAAAAGTGTGTATAGAAAATTGTATAGCTGATGGTGTTGATTCCTCGTCACATCATGTTGTCATAGTTTGTTTACTGTGAAAAAAAGCCACGTTTTTAAATTTTTAATAGCAATTTAAAAAAATAAACCGGGAGTGATCTCCCCTAAACTTTTTCGAATATTCTAATATAACACTACGTGGGATGTCAACTCGGAATATAGACATGATTTTTGTTTACTTAAACTTTTAAAAATAGAATAAAATCTAGTAGAAAAAAAATTGCGCACCAAGCGAGCACCAAAACCAAATGTGCGTAATAGTGCGCAATATTATTAGTACTTTATAAATTTACATGCGTTTTTTGAGAAATCGGAAATAGCGTAAATTAGTACTTCCGGTCAACGGAAATTACTCAACATTTAATAGAAGGTAGAGAATTAGATCTTTTACTTACATGTGAAATTTCATTTATCTATCTGAATAAGTACTCAAGTTATAGGCTTTTGAAAAATTCAAAGTAGAAAAAGTACCACTTCCGGTTATCGGAAAGCGCTCAAAAGTTGATAAGGATCTAAGATTTTGATATAATACTTATATATGAAATTTCATCAACCTAGCTGTAACGGTACTCAAGTAATCGTGTTTACACACTGACACACAGACACACAGACACACAGACACACACACACACACACACAGACATACGGACAAGATTGCAAAATTATGTTTTTCCGTATCAGTGAGGTGTAAAACGTCGAGATTTGTAAAAATCTCGATTTATTTTTTTTGCACGATTACAATACTTTCTCTATACTACGTATATACGAGAAAGTAAAAAAGAAGATATTGGTTTATTTATTGTGAGACTTTTATTAAATTGTATGATTTTTCAAGTAGAACAATGTATCCTTAACAAAACAAATATTTAAACTAAAAACCGCTAACAGAAGCTTAGAATCTCTAAAAAACGATTTTCTGCCCATTTTTAGTCATTGGTCAACTCTCATGAAGCTCTGCCCAACAATTAATTGTCGTCAGTTTGATGTAGGCTTAGCTAGTACTTAATCTTGTTATCTCATAATTTATTATTGAATTTAGCAATCTTTTAACTACATTTTTATGACTAAGCTTATAACTAACTATAATAAGAATTAGATATTCGTGCATTGTCATCGGAGTAGAATGTATCTGGAAAGTATAAAAGACAGTGAAAGCAGGTCTATATTGAGTTACAAAATAGTCCACAAACCTAAACAAAAAAGTAAGAAATAACATACATTTATCCAAACAACCACTTATGAAATCATTTTGTATTACTTTTGTTAGAAACTATATATATATATATATATATATATACTAGACTACCCGTTATCAAGTTAGATTTATGTGGGTTTCGGTGGTCATCTATAAATGACATTACGTCTGTCACTTATCATCACAAAATAACCAGACTCCACATTCAGAAAGACGTTTTTTGTCCTTTAAAAACACCGATTTCGGCTGAGCATGTGTCGGACCACACAAGTGACCTACCCAACTCTACTTCGCATGCCCAGTGTTCCGCCAAGTCTCAACCTGTTTATATCGTTTAAAAAAACGAGGACAAAGAAACAGGTGAACTCTACTTCACCTGCCCTGTATCCCGCATTGTTCCGATAGGCAACTTTATCATTCACATCTAAAAAAAAAATTGAAATGTTTTTTTAACATTGACATGATATGTCTAGAATCCTTGCCACCCGTATGGAAACCTATTACACTAAAAACTTAGCTCTCTAGACCAGTGGCGTAGCGAGGTCGGGTGTCACCCGGTGCGGCACTTAATGGTGTCACCCCCCCCCCCCCCAGAGGCGTTGCGACCCTTCCCGGGGACAAACTTTCAAGTTTTCGATTTGCACCCCCCCCCTCAAACTTTTGATTTGCACCCCCCTAAAGTTTTCGATTTGCACCCCCCCCCCCCTCAAACTTTCGATTTGCACCCCCCCTCAAGTTTTTCTGTATATATATTGCTATTTTTTGCCTTGGTGTCACCCCCCTAAATGGTGTCACCCGGTGCGGTCCGCACCCCCCGCCGCCCCCCCCCCCCTCGCTACGCCCCTGATCTAGACTCTTGACGTCATTGATGTTTTTTTTTGTACTATATATTAATAGTTTAAGTCTGCTTAACAAACTTGATTTATGCGCATAGGCCCTAGATCTAGTATCTTTGAAATTAAGTTTTATCTTAAATTAGCCAATTCCATAGCTAAACAAACAAAAATTTATATAAAATAATGAAGGTCTGAAATAGTTTAGTATAAAAACTCATTGTTATCTAGATCTAGATGGAGTTATCTAGATACTACGACTGGTTTGGTTAAGGGGATATGCGCGGAAAAAAATCACAAAATTTCTTGTTTTTCGTCATGATGGGTTTCTTGCATTTTTGGATACTTTGTCCATTTTTGTATAAAGAAAATAATAACTTTAAAGAGAAAAAAATATTTTATGTGTTTAAATTACGATTTTTATAACCCTATTAATTAAAAAATAATCAATTTTTCCCAATCTTACAAGCGCTCTATAAAAAGTTTTATATCCGTCATTATATTGTATTTGACATCATTGGAAAGCTGGATTTCTCATGTATCTAATAAACTTAATTTCCTACATCTCGGAAAAACCCAAAGCTTACAATCGGCTTTGCAGTTTACACAGATATGGTACTTTCCTGACCTAGTTTTCGTTACTTTTGGCTTTTTATCTCAGTTCACAGGTTTTTAACACTAAAAAGCCTACTACTTTTTTATTTATTAAACAATGCAAACCATATTTTCAGTAAATGTTCTTGATGCAAAAATACAACTTTTGTCACGAGGGAATTGTGATTGCTTTCATAGAAAAAAAGTATTTGGTAATTAATATGCACATTTTGAAACTTTTGAATACTAAAAAGGGTACGATATTTTAGAGCTTGTAAAATTCTTACTAGTAATTATTTCAAAAAGTTGTCGTGACAAAAGTTTTAATATATACTGAAATATAAGCAGTTTAAATTTTATTGCTATAGGTGCATAAATAAAAAAGCCTTAGTATTTTTAAAAATACCGAAAAATTCAAAATGGCGGAGGTTTTTTGGGTTTCCATGACAACCAAAATTGTTTTCGACCCTCTTTTTTGCTGTTTAGTACTTACTTTTATGTGCCAAATATGATAAAAGTATTCAAAAGGCTTTAGATCTTAAAGTGTAAAAAATAGAAAAAAAACATAGCATATCCCCTTAAGTCGAGATTTTGCCGTAACTCTAGACTTTAGCTAGATCTAGATTTAGAATTTCTAAGATCTAGGACCTAGATAGATAAATCACTTGTATTCTTGATTTAGATGATCCGTGAAGCTAAAAAGCAAAGATTTATATTCAATATTTAAGGACTAAAATAGTTTAAAAAGGAAACTCAAAAATGTATTCTGATTTTAAAATTGTTTTTTTTTATCTAATTAATTTTGGTTTGACCTAGATTCTAGATCTATAAAAACACCTTCGACAGCTGGCCTTTAGATTTTAGATCTAGAGAAATGTATTGTATACTTAAATGAAAAAGGACTGTTGAAAATTGATATTAGTGTTGGAGCGTATTAAAAATAGCAAACGGACGTATCGTTAAAGCAATAGCCGACAGAAAATTAGCTATATAATGCGTTATACATTTAAATCGGCAACAAAAATCTTCTATGGAAGCCGCCATTATTGTTGTAAAAAGTAAATAAATCATGTGACGTCACTATTCACTGTCATTGTTCTGAACTTTTATAATTAATATGTGGTTAATCTATTAATGTATAAATCAATGAATTAATTAACGTCTTTACATAAATTAGTGATTAACAGTCTTTTTAAAAAAGAAAATTGTTCTCTACCTAATTAATATTTTACAGCAGATTCTCCACTGTACCCAAACGGACAAACAAATAAATATTTAAACATGTAAACAACTTGAGTTTTAGTATATATATATATATATATATATATATATATATATATATATATATATATATATATATATATATATATATATATTTATAAATGATTCTTGCTTAAAAAGTAATTTAATCAATCACACATTATCTTCTGGGATGTCTACTAAGGACGACACTAAATAGAGCAAAGCGGAGAAGCAGCTGGCAGAGGCAGGACTGTCAGTTGGGACTGCCAGGAAAAAAAAGTGGAGGGAGCTTTCTAGAGGCGTAGCTATGGGGGGCAGGGGGGGTACATAAGTCCCAGGGCGGCGACCTTAGGGGGCGCCAAAATAGGTTGTAAAAACAAATTAAAATGTCATTTTAGCTGCATTTTTGCATTATAAATAGTTTGAGGGGGGGGGGGGTGCAAATCGAAAGTTTGAGGGGGGGGGGGGGGAGAAGCAAATCGAAAATTTGCTCCCGAGGGGGGCGCCAAATTGAAAGTTTGTCTTCGGGCGCCGGGAAAGGTCGCTACGCCTCTGGAGCTTTTTTTTAGCGTCCCCAAGACTGATGAATAAAAATGTAAACTCTCTCTCGCACTATCAGGGTAAAGTTTACGCTAAAATAGATGTAACAGAGCCAGGAATAGACCTAAATGTATATTTAATCATTTTTTTAAAAAGAAAAACAAGCTTGGAACTTTCAATTAAAAACTAACCTTAATTTTACCATTTAAAATAACCATTTTCTATTGTTAGGAGTAACATTTAATGATACTTCAACAACAAATGTAATGCCCATTTTAGGTCAAAATGAATATTTATTATCTTGAAAATGTTTTTAAAATTTGAAGCATTTATAACATTACTTTAAGTAAATATTGCACTATAATAAAAGACAGTTTAAAAAAAAATCATGTAGTAAAAATAATTTTAAAAAACAAAGTAACTTACATTTTGAGTTGAGAAAGAATAAGGTTGAGAAGCTACATAGGCATAGATGTTCGATGTACATTGATTAGAGCCTAAAATGTTTATATAAAAATACATAAACATACTTATTAAAATAATTGTACTTATATGGAAACGCATATATATATATATATATATATATATATATATATATATATATATATATATATATATATATAATTTCACCGTGTGTGTTATGTTTTTAAAAACACGAGCCGACCAGCGGCGTATCATACGCCGCTATTTAGTTGTTGTTTTTTTCTACTTTTCAGTAATTCATAATTTGTGAATTCGACAGTACTAATGCTGCCACTGAAAATATATTTGCTTTAAAACACTAAACCCCTCCTTCCCCCCCCCCCCCCCCTCCTCGTGAAAACATCCTCCTTTTAGTTACCTCCCCTAAGTTTAAAATCATTTCAAACTAAATTATCTGCCCCTAATAGCCTATACGCGTGTAAACAGCGTCAACCACGGCTCATCAGACCATGTGGGTACGGGGGGGGGGGGAAGGGGTAATAGAGATATGCCTATAGAGGAAGGGAGGGGACTGCTAGGCGCGCTTACAGCTTGTTTTCTAGCGTCTCCCCAGAAGAAAATTGCAATTGATATTAATGTCTACTGAGTATACTTACTTTGTGCCTGACAGGCCGTAAAAAGGATTACAGCATACGCTACAACGTGCATAGCAGCAACTTGCATTTTCTGAAACTTGTGAGTTCTGTCATATAATTGTAAAGTATTAATTTATCGGATTCAATGGGAACTGCCACAATCGCTTAGAATATTTATGTTTGTTGCTAAAATCAATCAAAACATTTTAGAATATTTTATTTTGGTGTTACAACAACTACCAAAATCATCTATACCATTTTAGCTTGTTTTACGAGATTTATAAATATTAACAAAGGCTTTAATTTTCATTGATAGGTTTTATAATATCAACAATAATATACCTAATATAACCAGTTTACACGTATAGCCTACTTAATTGTGTTGGAGGGGATCTCTACCAACACTAAAGTTAAGAAGAAAGAAGAAAAACATTCCTTTTAAGAACGTCCTCTGTACGCTGGGATTTTCCTCAACTACTTATTTAAATAAACCGGGAGTGATCTCCCCTAAACTTTCTCGAATATTTTTATATAAAATAACAGGGGATGGGAACTCGGGCTATAGACATGATTTTTAATCCATTTTAAATACTTAAAGTTTTAAAAATAGAATAAAATCTCGTAGACAAATTAATTGCACACCAAGTGAACGCGAAATAAAAAAGCGCATAATAGTGCGCAATATTATTAGTACTTTAAAAATTTACATTAGTTTTTTGAGAAATCGGAAGTAGCGTAAATTAAAAAAAAAAAAAATCGAGATTTTTGCAAATCTCGACGTTTTGCATCTCACTGATACGGAAAAACATAATTTTGCAATCTTGTCCGTATGTCTGTGTGTCTGTGTGTGTGTGTGTGTGTGTGTCCGTGTGTAAACACGATAACTTGAGTACCGTTACTGCTAGGTTGATGAAATTTCATATATAAGTATTTTATCAAAATCGTAGATCCGTATCAACTTTTGAGCGATTTCCGATAACCGGAAGTGGTACTTTTTCTACTTTGAATTTTTCAAAAGCCTATAACTTGAGTACTATTTCAGATAGATAAATGAAATTTCACATGTAAGTAAAAGATCTAATTCTCTACCTTCTGTTAAATTTTGAGTAATTTCCGTTGACCGGAAGTAGTAATTTACGCTACTTCCGATTTCTCAAAAAACTAATGTAAATTTTTAAAGTACTAATAATATTGCGCACTATTATGCGCTTTTTTATTTCGCGTTCACTTGGTGTGCAATTAATTTGTCTACGAGATTTTATTCTATTTTTAAAACTTTAAGTATTTAAAATGGATTAAAAATCATGTCTATAGCCCGAGTTCCCATCCCCTGTTATTTTATATAAAAATATTCGAGAAAGTTTAGGGGAGATCACTCCCGGTTTATTTAAATAAGTAGTTGAGGAAAATCCCAGCGTACAGAGGACGTTCTTAAAAGGAATGTTTTTCTTCTTTCTTCTTAACTTTAGTGTTGGTAGAGATCCCCTCCAACACAATTAAGTAGGCTATACGTGTAAACTGGTTATATTAGGTATATTATTGTTGATATTATAAAACCTATCAATGAAAATTAAAGCCTTTGTTAATATTTATAAATCTCGTAAAACAAGCTAAAATGGTATAGATGATTTTGGTAGTTGTTGTAACACCAAATAAAATATTCTAAAATGTTTTGATTGATTTTAGCAACAAACATAAATATTCTAAGCGATTGTGGCAGTTCCCATTGAATCCGATAAATTAATACTTTACAATTATATGACAGAACTCACAAGTTTCAGAAAATGCAAGTTGCTGCTATGCACGTTGTAGCGTATGCTGTAATCCTTTTTACGGCCTGTCAGGCACAAAGTAAGTATACTCAGTAGACATTAATATCAATTGCAATTTTCTTCTGGGAGACCGCTAGAAAAACAAGCTGTAAGCGCGCCTAGCAGTCCCCTCCCTTCCTCTATGGCATATCTCTATTACCCCTTCCCCCCCCCCCCCGTACCCACATGGTCTGATGAGCCGTGGTTGACGCTGTTTACACGCGTATAGGCTATTAGGGGCAGATAATTTAGTTTTGAAATGATTTTAAACTTAGGGGAGGTAACTAAAAGGAGGATGTTTTCACGAGGAGGGGGGGGGGGGAAGGAGGGGTTTAGTGTTTTAAAAGCAAATATATTTTCAGTGGCAGCATTAGTACTGTCGAATTCACAAATTATGAATTACTGAAAAGTAGAAAAAAACAACAACTAAATAGCGGCGTATGATACGCCGCTGGTCGGCTCGTGTTTTTAAAAACATAACACACACGGTGAAATTATATATATATATATATATATATATATATATATATATATATATATAATATATATATATATATGCGTTTCCATATAAGTACAATTATTTTAATAAGTATGTTTATGTATTTTTATATAAACATTTTAGGCTCTAATCAATGTACATCGAACATCTATGCCTATGTAGCTTCTCAACCTTATTCTTTCTCAACTCAAAATGTAAGTTACTTTGTTTTTTAAAATTATTTTTACTACATGATTTTTTTTTTAAACTGTCTTTTATTATAGTGCAATATTTACTTAAAGTAATGTTATAAATGCTTCAAATTTTAAAAACATTTTCAAGATAATAAATATTCATTTTGACCTAAAATGGGCATTACATTTTGTTGTTGAAGTATCATTAAATGTTACTCCTAACAATAGAAAATGGTTATTTTAAATGGTAAAATTAAGGTTAGTTTTTAATTGAAAGTTCCAAGCTTGTTTTTCTTTTAAAAAAATGATTAAATATACATTTAGGTCTATTCCTGGCTCTGTTACATCTATTTTAGCGTAAACTTTACCCTGATAGTGCGAGAGAGAGTTTACATTTTTATTCATCAGTCTTGGGGACGCTAAAAAAAAGCTCCAGAGGCGTAGCGACCTTTCCCGGCGCCCGAAGACAAACTTTCAATTTGGGCGCCCCCCTCGGGAGCAAATTTTCGATTTGCTTCTCCCCCCCCCCCCCCCCCCTCAAACTTTCGATTTGCACCCCCCCCCCCCCCCTCAAACTATTTATAATGCAAAAATGCAGCTAAAATGACATTTTAATTTGTTTTTACAACCTATTTTGGCGCCCCCTAAGGTCGCCGCCCTGGGACTTATGTACCCCCCTGCCCCCCATAGCTACGCCTCTAGAAAGCTCCCTCCACTTTTTTTTCCTGGCAGTCCCAACTGACAGTCCTGCCTCTGCCAGCTGCTTCTCCGCTTTGCTCTATTTAGTGTCGTCCTTAGTAGACATCCCAGAAGATAATGTGTGATTGATTAAATTACTTTTTAAGCAAGAATCATTTATAAATATATATATATATATATATATATATATATATATATATATATATATATATATATATATATATATATATACTAAAACTCAAGTTGTTTACATGTTTAAATATTTATTTGTTTGTCCGTTTGGGTACAGTGGAGAATCTGCTGTAAAATATTAATTAGGTAGAGAACAATTTTCTTTTTTAAAAAGACTGTTAATCACTAATTTATGTAAAGACGTTAATTAATTCATTGATTTATACATTAATAGATTAACCACATATTAATTATAAAAGTTCAGAACAATGACAGTGAATAGTGACGTCACATGATTTATTTACTTTTTACAACAATAATGGCGGCTTCCATAGAAGATTTTTGTTGCCGATTTAAATGTATAACGCATTATATAGCTAATTTTCTGTCGGCTATTGCTTTAACGATACGTCCGTTTGCTATTTTTAATACGCTCCAACACTAATATCAATTTTCAACAGTCCCTTTTTCATTTAAGTATACAATACATTTCTCTAGATCTAAAATCTAAAGGCCAGCTGTCGAAGGTGTTTTTATAGATCTAGAATCTAGGTCAAACCAAAATTAATTAGATAAAAAAAAAACAATTTTAAAATCAGAATACATTTTTGAGTTTCCTTTTAAACTATTTTAGTCCTTAAATATTGAATATAAATCTTTGCTTTTTAGCTTCACGGATCATCTAAATCAAGAATACAAGTGATTTATCTATCTAGGTCCTAGATCTTAGAAATTCTAAATCTAGATCTAGCTAAAGTCTAGAGTTACGGCAAAATCTCGACTTAACCAAACCAGTCGTAGTATCTAGATAACTCCATCTAGATCTAGATAACAATGAGTTTTTATACTAAACTATTTCAGACCTTCATTATTTTATATAAATTTTTGTTTGTTTAGCTATGGAATTGGCTAATTTAAGATAAAACTTAATTTCAAAGATACTAGATCTAGGGCCTATGCGCATAAATCAAGTTTGTTAAGCAGACTTA